CGCTCTTCTTGGGTCACCCCAAAAGCTGCTGGCAGCCCCAAAGCCATGGTTGCTGTGGGATGTGCCACAGGGACACCCAAAGCAGCTGAAAGGGCTGGTTCCAGGTGCTGTGATCAGAGAGAAAATGCAGCCATACAGAAGGGGGCTATTTCCAGACAGAGCTCATTAAAGCCACACTCAACCCCTTCACCCCTCATGAAGGGGGCTGTTGTTTTGGAAAATGTTCCTCGTGTGTGCACCCATCAGAGGAGCAGAGCCTCGCTGCTCTCAGGCTCTCTTTGTCTCCAGAAAAACATCTCTCCAGCTCAACCACAATGATTCACCAGTGTGTGACAGGTGTGGGACAGGGCCATCGCTGCACAGGTCAGTCTTTTCATTGAGCCCTTTTCAAAGCGAGATATTGCAGCAAGGGGACATCTCAGAGCCACTTTGCTCTGAAATTTATCTGTCAGCAGCCAGGAATGGACCCCTTCCTTCTGGACACCCCCACAAAACACACATTAGCTTTGGGGGCAGCTACAACATAATTTCTTTAAATGCCATGTTTCTGGGTGGATTCAACCCATTTTTTTAGATTCAGCTGAAAAAAAAAAGGGGTTTCTGCATTGCCAAACTCATTACTCAGGCTCTTTGCTATTTTAACCTAAAACTTACAATAATGTCTGGCATCCAAGGAGCATTTTTATAATTCAAAATTCTTTGCAAACTGTCTGAATCCAGGTGTGCCAGCTCAGACGAAGCAGCTGTCGAAATCAGGGGCCTGATTCTGCATTGGCAATCGTTTAATTTCCCCTCTTACGCCTCCTGAAAAAGCCCATCAGGAGTGATGGAGATGGTAACAATTTCAGAAATTTGAAAAACTGATGGGTCTGAAGCAGAGATGGAGGGGATGGCGATGGAGAAACCCCATGGATGTGGCACAGCCTGCAGCGATGTGGCAGGTTGCATTGCCTGTGCTTGGCATGGTGTCGACATTTGGAGAGGATTTGCCTGGGAGCACGTAGAAACTATTCCTGAGCTCTTTTCCCTGATGGGATCCATCAAGTTTCGTGGCCCCACATCTGCGACCATGGTATGTGTGTGTGAGTGTGTGCGTATGTGGGTGGGTGGGTGTGAGAGCAAACGCATGTGATGGTCAGGACAGGCTGCGGTTTTAGTCCTGCACTTAGTGGGGGTCTGCAAAGGAGCGAGGGTCCCGAGCCCCCGCTGATGCTGACTCCTGCTTACCCCAGTGCTCTCAGTCCCTGCATGCCACCAAGGGTGAGCTGAGATGCCTGGGTGCTTGCAATCCCTCCATATTGGGGTATTGGCAATAAACCATTGTGAGGGCACTGGGGAGCAATGTGCATGTGCTGGAAGGGCTCCTGCACCGTACAGCGAGGGCTGAAGCCGATGCCAGAGCTGCTCTGCACCCCGCGCACGCCTGTGTTCCCCCACTGTGAGCTCTCTAATGAGGGGCATTTTTCATTAAGGACCAATTCCTAAATTACAGATGGGGATACTGAGGCACAGCAACGAGCCCAGGGACATGGGGAGGCTACAGGTGAGCTGCAGCCCGGCTTTCCCAGCTGTGCCGGCCAATGTTTCTGCTTGAGAGAGACCCAGCTGAAACGCATAGCCCCAAATGCGCAGGTTGAGGGTCCAGGTCTGGGTCCAGCTCCAGCAAGGGTTAAGGCAGCTGCTGTGAGTTGGAGTCTGCAGAGGCCCCTGTGCTTGGGAGGAGGAAGATGAGCGTGGCAAGGGCTCTGCTTCCTCCTGCGAGGCTCCCCCACTAAGGAAATTGTCAATTAGCGACATAGTTTTAACCGCACAGTGCAGATTCCCATGATCCGGTGGCTGCTCAGCCAGAAGTCCCCATTATTCTTGTTCACGTCCCCCAGGAGCCCAGAGGCCCTGTGAGATCAGGACCTCACCATGCTGCTGGCAGGACCACAGGGGTTTGCTATGGCTTCAAGCGCTAGCAGCAGCTGCAAGGGCTGGGGTGCCCAGCTCCGTGCCTCAGTTTCTCCATCTGCATAGCATGAAAAGGCTAGAGGTGGAGGGAAAGGTTGCTGGGCAGCGGCTGAAGAAGGGGCAGAGGGAGCCAGACTGGGTTCCTGTGGGATGCTGGCACTGCAGCCCTTCCCATCACTGCCTTTCAGGTGGTCATTGCTGCCTCCCTGCTGCCACCCTCGGGGCACAGGATCAGGCCCCAGATTGGTTTTGACCCTTCATGTCCAGAGGGGGTGCAACTCCACCCAGACTTTCCTACATGGGAAAAAGTCATCTCTTGCCCTGAGCAGCTCCAAAGGGATGGAGAGGGGACAGAGCAGGAAAACATGGAGAAACCCTCTGCCACTAGACACTGGGAACTTCCCAGTCACAACCCCAACAACAGAAATGTAGCTGCTAACAGATTTTTCAGGTTTTACTGGTCTGCATGTGGAGTTTGCACCAAAGAAGGGCCCAGGGCCGTGTATCCCCTTTCCCCGCTCACCCTTATGCACATCACTTTCTGCCTCAGTTTCCCTAACAAGGTGATGAGCAGCACCAGCCCTGTACCAGTAAAGCACAGAGGCTGGCTGGGGCAGCTTCCAGCGCCCCGCACATTGCACACCCAAAATGTTCAGGGCAGGTCAGCTCGCACCTCACCGGTGGCCGCCTGCTGCTCCCTCCCCAGCCCCAACCTCTGGAGCTGCTGAATCACGTCTTGGGAAGTGGCTGCCGCGCCGCCCGGGCTCCCGGCGGCCTCCACGCATGACCCACTTCTCCCGGCGGCTGATGCCAGCTGGGAAACACAGCCTGGAGAGCAGCAGCTGCCGGTGCTCCCAAACCCCGACCAGGGCTGCCCGGCTTTCACCAAGCGCAGACTTCCCTGGGGTGATCAGGGTGAGCTCGTCGGAGCTCACCGGGATGAGAGGGGCTTGGGACAGCAGCATGAAGTCCTCTCCAGGGATGGAGTTTGCTGCTGGGGGGCAACCCAGCCACTGGAGCTGCGGCACAGGGGTGCAGGAGGATGGTATCTCTCCCAAATTTCACCACCATCCCCGGGGACAGGCACCAAAAGTCCAAACCTCACTTCAAGCACCCCAGGAAAGCGCTGGCTGAGGGAGCTGGGATGTACCAGGGCACATAAAGGCCCCCAGGGAGTCTGGGGTCACCCTAGGAGCCAGCTCAGTTCTGCCCTGTTGGCACAGCAAGGGAAAACTTCTCACCCCGGTGCCATAACTCTCCCTGAAATAAGAAAAAACTGGACCAGAAACTTCTACCGGGAAAGTTCGAGCTGCGACCAGATCTTGGCCACATGGTCCGTGCTGCCACACCTCACTGCCCTTTGTCCCCAGCCCTGCTCTGAGCCCCATGGCTGCGCACAGGGACACCAAAAGCAATGAGCTGCCCTGGGTGAATTCCCCATGGCATTGCCACAAGTCCCTCCGTGCCAGTCACGGGCACCCAAACGACCACCCAGCCATGGTCCCCTGGGCAGGGGGCACCCAGCTGCACCTGTGGATGGGGCATGGTCTGGGTGCTGGGCTCCTGGCCAAATCCTGTACTGAATCTCATGGGATGGGGAAAAGAAGAATTTTCCATCCCTCACACCTCTGCTGTGCCAAACTCAGCCCAGGTGGGTTTGGTGTCCCCAGCAGCGGGGCCGTGGCACCTCCTGACAACCCTGGTTGGCTCCATGGAGTGGGGAGCCTTGGGGGAATGGGCACAGCCATCAGCTGGCTCCCAGAGAAGGAAATGTCTGGAGGAGGAGGCGGAGAGGGGACTCAAATGTCATTTTGGATTCTCTGTGGAGGGGTCTTGCTAGGAAAATCCTGTTGCAGTGCTGGCAGCGAGCTCTGCTCACTGGCACGTCCGGAGAGCCTCTGCTCTGTAGATCCCGTGGGCTTGGGGCTTCGGCTCTCAGCCTCTCGGAAAACTTTTGGCTAATTATTAATAAACAGCGCATCCATTCACAGAGTGCTCCAAGCACCCACAGTCTGCTGAAGGAGGAGAACGAGAAGGACACAACCCGGGCTCCAGTCTCCTGGCCTGGGGTCCAGTCTGGCCAGGGAGGTCCCTGTGCTGCTGCTCCCCGGGATGGGTGCTGGGAGCTTTGTCCCTCCTGAGAGCATCTTTGTTGTTTGCCAACAGGTCAGTGCGGGCATCTTGCCCTGCCCTGCCCGTCCACCTCTCTCCTCTTAAATACAGGGAAGA